ATAACCCAGGAATTTGAAATTTTCCATAGAATTAGCTTTTTCTTGTGCTAGATTAAAAGGGAATAATTGTTCTTTAAATGGGCAAAAAATTTTCAACTTTCTCTTACAAAAGTAAAATAACTTGTTACTTATATTTAAGTCTTCAGTGTGTAGCAAAAAGATCTTCAGAAAAATTCAAAAGCACATTGTAATAGTAATCCTACATTTAATGAAAATTATTTAGTTGAATGATGGCTAACGCCATTTGTCCATTTGTTTCAACTTTTAGTGAAAATAGTTACAAATAGTGTGAATTTCTTCCCTGGGAGGCAGTGTGGAGTTATGTCTTTGGAACCACACAGATGTTCCAGCACTTACAGTGTAACCAGAGTTTGCTGTGCACAATGAGAGCGATACTACTTACCTTGTAGGGAGGATTGAAGGAAACCAATGTCGGCACAGACCCTAGTATGTTTCTTGGCGTATTACAGATGTTCAACAAGTAGCTGTGGATTGCCCCACATTCTTCTTGTCCATCATGTTATGTGAACTTTGTTTTCTTTAGGCCAAAGGTACTGTCTCATCTTTCTGCAGCATGTCATATTTTCTGATGCACATAATGGCATTGCTAGGTTGAAGGTTGACCTTTTTATTTTCATAGTGACATTTAGTAAATATGTGTGTACTATTTGGCAGTGGCTGTAACCTAATATTCTGGTGTATAATCTTTTTTGTAAGGACATCCAGCACTACTCAGTTTTTAAAAATGTAATCTACTAATTATTGATTTGTTTAATAAATATTTCAGTGCCATCAAAGTATACAGGACCTTTTGGCATGGTGAAGAAAACAGACTTACTAGGGTCTCAACCACTGGTTTCTCTAGAACACTTACATGATAGCAAAAAATGGTATTTTAGATACCTAGTCAGTAAAGCTACCAGGAAGCTTATTTAGATTACCAAGTTCATACAATGGAAGTCTTTCTTAGAGCACAGACCTTCCACAGTCTATTCATTTGTCTGCTTAGTGAAAAGGATAGAAGTTGGTAAGATTTTTATGTCACAAGCTTTGTGAAGAGTTGAGTGGAGTTGAGTGGTCTGATGCTGCTTCCACTAACATGGGACCTCATGGGGCCAGGAGGCCAGTGTGAAGTGTTGGTGCTTGTGCAAAGGTGAAATGTTTTTAATGACAGTATGGCGTGCATAGTGAATTTATGCACTAAGTTTATTCTGCCAGCAAACACCATTTTTATCAGATTTTAGATAAATTGATAAAGGAAGATCACTGACTTAAGAAAGATGAAGATATGTGGTATATATCTATAAATTATAAAACTGTTTCATATAGAAAATTTCAAGCATATACAGAATTAGAATTCATAATCACTTTTTAAGATGAAGACTTTGAAAAATTGTTCTCTGAGAATAAGACCTTTTCTTGCTTGAGTGGGATACCTGCTCATGCGTTGGGTAGAAGACCTTGTAGAGAAGTTTTAAGAATCACAAACTCCAGCCTGACTTTGCGGATCATGGTCTCACAGGTGATCTGCCTTTTCACAATGCGTCCATTTTCATTTGAGGATAGCTCTCTGTAAGATAGGAATGACTCCCAATAAGATTATAAGACACAGGAGAGAGTCACAGAATGTTAAGGGGGCGAACCTGTCTAACTCGGTCGTTGGAAGCCCTGGTCCTTTTCTTTTGTTCATATGGTATGTTACATTAATTAATTTTGGTGTGTTAAACCAACCTTGCACTTCTGGGATGAATCTTACTTGGTTATGATGTGTGATCTTTTTTCTGTGTTGCTGAATTTAGTTTGCTAATATTTTGTTAAGCGTTTTTTTTCCATGCATGTTTATAAGGGATATTATTATTATTATTATTATTATTTTTGAGTTAGAGTCTCACTCTGTCACCCAGGCTGGAGTGCATTGGCCGCTCCCGGCCACCGCAGCCTTGACCTGCTGGGCTTCAGCGATCCTTCCACCTCAGCCTTCCAAGTAGCTAGAACTACAGGCACGCGCTACCATGCCTGGCTAATTTTTTGATTTATTGTAGAGATGAGGTCCCACCAAGTTGCCCAGGCGGGTCTCGAACCCGCGGGCTCAAGGATATTCTTTTGTAGTTTTCTTTTGATGTGTTTGACTTTTGTATTAGGGTAATACTAGACTGAGAGAATGAGTGGGAAAGTGCTTCTTCCACTCTGTTTTCTGAGAGATTAGGTAAGCCTGGTAGTCTTTTTTTTTTTTTTTTTTTTTTTTTAATATTTGACAGAATTCACCAGTGAAGCTACTTGGACCTATGTTTTTCTTTTGTGAAAGTTTTTAATTAAAAATTTACTATCTTAGAGTTCTATTCTGATTTTCTTTTTGAGTCAGTTTTGGTACCTGAGTCTTTTATGAAATGTGTTCATTTCCTCTAAGTTGTGTTGATATAAATCATAATATCCTTTTCATTTCTGTAGGGTCCATTGTGGTGATCCCTTTTTGTTTTCTGATTTTGGTCACTTTTCTTCTCTCCTTTTACTCGGTCAGTATACTTAAAGGAGTATCAATCTTCTTGATCTCAAAAACCTTTTGGTTTTACAGATTTTTCTCTTCTTTGTGTTGTGTCATTACCTTTCTTGGTGATCTTTATGTTTTTCTTCCTTCTACTTTGGATTTATTTTACTTTTTTTTTGAAGGTGGGGGACTAGCTTCTTTTTTTTTTTTTTTTTTTTT